ACAGTGTATCTTAATGCTCTGTCTAGACTATTTATAACTGGAAGTGAGAGATTTTTTAAAATTGTAAATTTGCTAGAAAATGTGATCTTGATCACCCTAAAACTGTTTGTAAGCTTCAGTTGAAGCTAATAGTTTCAGTCAGAAGAAAAAGAATGGACATAGCACTTACCCAGAATATGAAAGACCCAGTTCAATTCTGATCTCAACTCATTTCTCCCAGAAGGGTGTCCTAACCTCCAAGCTAACAGGCATTCTGGGGAAGGCAGAAGGGGTACTTGGTCTTTCCTGTTGACACAGTTCTACTTTGCGTCAATAATTAAAAATTCACTTGGAGGAGGCAGAAGTGTAAGGAAGGTGATGAGTGGGACATGAGTCCCAAGTGCTGTATAAAGTATGGGGGAGGGGCATTGGAAGAGAGCTGCAGAGGGAACCTTACCCTCCTGTCTCCCTTCCCTCTCTGCATCCTCACCCTGTACCTAATCTATGCAGTAGTTCTAGCTCTTTCAGCAGGCAGTAATGATAGGACTGGTAACACCTATGTGGTGGTGGTGAAAGCATACTGTGCAGAGGTGGCAGCCAGCAGAAACTAGGGCAGAACAGGTATGGAACCCCCATGTCCCACTTCCCAGCAGAGTGTCAGGTAAGAAAATCATTCTCTACACTTATTCAAGGACTGTTTAAACACTTATTCAAAATGAAAACAGCTCAAACTGAAAGGATTTGAGAACATCCTGCCCTGAAATTCAGGACAGGGATTTGATCCAAGGTCTCCCACCTTTCTAGCGAAAAAGCAGCTTAATCTCCGTAGCCTATATTTACAGTATGCTGTAAGCAATGTCCCTCCATTTGTTGTTGCCCCATTTTGTATAAAATATTTAAATAGTTATTGAAAAAGAGCACATGAACGGAAACCTATCCTGGTTAGGACACTTCCATGGGAGATGGCACAGCTGGGTTTCAGTCTCTGGTTCAATAAATGCTTAACATTACAAAGTAGAACATTGTCAACAGGACAACGGTTTAAGAACCTTGCGCAGGGCGCTAAGGCGTCCTGCTCCTTTAAAGGCTGAAACTGCTAGGGAGAGAGCTCTAGCAGTCAGTGGGGAGCCCCAGCTGCGGGTTACCAGGGCAGCCAGAATCAGATAGTTGGCCCACACCTGCCAGCGGTCAGCTGACCAGAAAGGGCAGGGCCTGGCACATATATAAACAACAGGGCTGGGACCAGGAAGGCAGTTCTCTGCCAGCAGCCAAGGTAGAAGGAGCTCTCCTAGGGGAGGCCAAGGGAAGAGGCCTGACTACAAGTTCAGCTTCTGGTAATTTTAAGGGACAGAGCACACCCTGGGTGGCTTGAGTTATGTTATAGCCAAGGGGCTTGCATTTTTTATTTCTGTTTATAAGATCGGTGGTTTGGGTGAGGCTATTGGGGAAGGAGGAGGCCTCATTGGGGGCTCGCTACAACGTGGGGCCCCGGTGCCAGAGAGGGCACAGTATTCAGGGTGCACAGACCCCGGTGCCAGAGAGGGCGCAGTGTTTGGGGGTGAACAGACCCTGGTGCCAGTGTGGGTGCAGAGTGAGACAGGGCTGCGGAGAGCCCAGTGACAATCCAAAGCCGAGTGAAATCAAGGCCTCAGTGGGATGCTGTGGGAATACCATCTGCGAGGCTTGGGGCATGGTAAAGGGGCAGTTTGGAACCACGCATCTAGCCCATAAGGCTGGGGGTGTCCCGAGACATCCATTTTGGAATGGGACCCACAAGGGGTCCAGGAACCCACGGGGTTCAGTGGGCTCTATCAGGACTGTGTCCAACTAGACTTGAAGGCAGCCTCCCTATTTATTATAATCACATCAAGACATGGTGGGTGAGAATAGAGGGTGGCCATCGAGCTGAATTGGCACAGTCGAGGGGCCCTAGAGGTAACACAGCCATCCTTGGGAACCCCATCCCATGACAAACCTCCACCCAGAATACCCTGTGGCCCACTGGCTAGGACAGGCAGAGGAAGAACCTGAAGTATGTTCTTCACTGTCTGAGCTTGGGAGTAAAAGAACACCTCTAACAGAAATCTAGCTCTGTTTTTCTTAGACGTACACGTAACAAAACATTTCATTTCAGGTTACAAGATACCTTTCATAGTGAGCAAAGTATTATTTTTGTCACAAAAAAATTCAAACATTTTAAATTTGGTTCAGTCTGAATGCTTTTTTTTTTCTTTTTCTTTTAGTCCGTTACTGAACTGAACAAAAAAAATCAATTATTTGAACATTCACTTGGAAAAGCATATATAGTCAACACTTACCAGCTTTGTATTGGATTCATCACAATCAGAAGACATTTACATATTGGCTTTCAGTATTAACTCCAAGACCTGGCTTTGTAAAAGTACCTAAATAAATAAATTCTATTTTTTCTAGTCATTTTTCTAGTCCATCTCATATTGTTTGTGGTAAGATTTCCATAATTCTAAAAACTTCATCTAATTCACAATAACATATTTTTTCTCAAATTTGGCTTATAGTTGCAAAACCTTCATGTTCTTGCAGTTTTGCAGGAAAAGTATGTATCTGCTTCCCCTCATAGGAGCTCAGTGGTATTCACCTTGCGAGGCAGTAATTCTTTGATCATGCTGAATTTTTAGGAATTGCAGCAAGTACCTTCTCAAAAATGAGGACAGGACTGATACTCCTCTTGGGAAGGGGCAAAATGAGTGTTTGATTAATAAAGGCAGAAAAAATGTATCTAGCCTACATTTAACCTGTCTGAAGTCTTTGCGAACCTGCATCAAACATAAAACACTTACCATCTGTAGAACATCTATCAAACAAGGAAAGCTTAAGAACTGTGGCTCCCTATAGTATAGCTGTTGGGAGGGAAAAAGCTGAGTAATACTGAACTTACCCTGATCTCTGACTTTACTTAATGCAGACTGTGAAGTTTGTATTTATAGTCAAATGATGATTCACTGTTATGGATATGGAAAAGCTCCAGTACTTCTGCCTTAAAAAAAACACTATTCCATTCTTTGTTTGAAAGGTAGTTCCAGTTATATCTACCTTCTCCTTTGAAAATGTAAATGTTAATCTTTAAGTGCCTGAGTAAGATCAGGGATCTCTAAAATATGACTCAAGACAGAGGATTTTTTGGATTTACAATGCAGAAAAGTTTCAGAGCTAATTTGTGGATTTAGAAACAATTTCATTTAACAATTAATTTTCGGATTTGCTAGTTAGCTTTGAAAATCTCAATGAGCATCTGTAAGAAGTTTTGTGATTCTTCTGCTTTACCTGTGGTGAGTTAGACAGTCTGTATGTAGCAGAACACACCCCAAATCCCATTCCTAGCTTCCCAAAATGTTGATGTGCCCCACACAGTAGCACCACACCTTTGTATGTCAGTGAATTAGGCATATATTTATTTATCTTGGAAAATAAACTGTCATTAAATGGCTTTGTTCTCTGCCATCTTCTGAAGAGTCCTATTTTAAAAAATGACTTTAAAAAATTGTGCTAGATAACCAGAAGTGATCCTACAGCAGTGCCCTCCAACATTTTTATGGTGAAGATCACTTTTTAGCAGCCCAGGAACTACCATCTCCTGGCCCCTATCCTGCCTCCCCCCCTCACTCCCAAACAAGCCACCTGGGCTCTGACCCCACTCACTCAGCACAGCCCGGGCAGCAGGAGTGGTGGCTCAGCTCAGCTACGTGCATCCTGCTGCTTCTGATTGTGGAGTCTCTGACAGACTGAGATCAACTGTCAGAGGCCCCGTGATCGAACAGTTGATCAAGACTGACTGGTTGGTAACCATGACCCTACATAATGAATTAATTTATACTGCACTAAAGAATAGTTTCCAGAGAATAAACGTGCATTCTGTGTTCCTTCTGAGGGTAATGATGGTAAAATAGTGATTAGGAGAATTTTTCTGTTAAGAACTGATGAGGGGAAATCAATCTGTTCTAATATTATGTACGAGCAATCAGAAACTGTGTGTTGCATAATTGGTGCCACCTGTTATTACTGTATGCTGCACTGTATACCAGTGATTTTCAACCAGAGTGCCACAGCACCATGGGGTGACTTGAGATCCTTTCAAGGTGGGATGCCACACAATGTTTCCACTGTTGGGTGTGTAAATGCAGTTCACAAAATAAACTCAGTGATTTCAAAACAATTCTGACCTGTTGTGGACTTTCTGAGTTATTTTTTCCATAATCAAAAATGGGTGAAACCTATGAGCTAGCATTTTCTGAGGGGTGTCTTGAGTCTAACAAAGGGTGCCTTGTATCTAAAAAGGCTGAAAACCACTGCTCTACATAGTGACTTATTTTTATAGGGATGGCTTGTGCAATGTTAGTTGTGTTCCTGTAGTTCAGCATAGATATCCCCCGAGTGAGAAAAATACGCGGCTTTAACATTAGACCTCCAAATATGCTGCTTTTTAATTGGGCACTTCCTTTAGCAAACCCCACCATGATTACTTCCACAGGGACTGGGATATTCTTGGAAGAAATGTACTCAATGAAAAGTGTATTTAAGTATTTTTGACTCTGGCACTTGGAACAGTTGGGGAGGAGCTGTTTAGCAACATCAAAAGGAAATGAAAATCTTGGACCTATTGTTGCTGATTAGTGGAAATGATGTCCCCCTATCCAAAAATAGGAAGCTTCCATTAAAATTCAGAAGACACAAAATGACTGATACCATAGCATGTAAATGAGTGTCTATAAAAAATATTTTTATAATGTTGTCTATAATGCCTGGTGGTCTCTGGTCAGTAACCAATTTATTTGAAATAGATATTAAAGTAATATGTATTTATTTATTTAAGAATGAAATTATTAAAAGGTCAAAATTTGAATACTGTTAACACAAAGACATTTGATGGTTTTCTATATTCATGTAGTGAAATAAAATGAGACTCAAATTTCCCTGTGAGAGAATTAGTGCTCACTTTTAAGTCCTGGATCCTATTTTTTGTTTTATTTTATTTTTTGTTTCAGGGTTTTGAAGGTATTCCTGTCCCGAACTGCTCAACGCATTCCATACATGACAGGTGGTCGAGTGATGAGGATGCTGGCTGTAATTCTCCTGGTAGTCTTTTGGTTCTTGATTGGCTGGACTTCTGCAGTCAGTCAAAACTTGGAGAGAAATATTTCACTCATTGGCCAGGGGCAAACATCGGACCATCTCATCTTCAATATGTGCCTCATGGACCGCTGGGATTACATGATGGCTGTTGGTATGTTGGCTTTCTGGTTTATTCTTTAATTTTTTCAAATTAAACTTATTTAATTGGAAAAAAACCCCGTTAAAAGCATAATTGGACCTTATTACGTCCCCTGAAAAGCAGCTAGGGGAATAAAATGTTGACATTTTAAATGATTTTACACGATTTTAAATGAAGAAAAAGATAAATCGCAATTAGGATTATTGAGTATTATGTCTATTTCAGAGGTTTGTGACCTTGACTAAAACAATTACATGAGTGGGTGCTCAAGAAAATCCGAGCTTCAGCAGACGAAAGAGTGCATCTATCTTGCACTTTTAAAAATATGGCTGGTAAATTGAGAAAATATGTGGTTGTTTGGGGATTTTTCCCCGCTCCTACTCCACCAGAACTGGAGAGATCACACTTGTTTGCCCCTAAATCCAGTGGATTGCAATTTCACACTCATAGAAAAATGTTTATCCAAGTGATATATGTCAAAACTGTTGCTTTATTTATTTATTAGGAATGTGATAATGTTTGGGACAGACTATTGAGAAAATGACAATTCATCTGGTTTTATTGCACTTGTGGAAAGGGAAAGTATCACAATTTCATTGTGTTGTTATAATGGGCGCTAGGTACAGAGTACCCAGGTCTTGGATATCAATACATAGGGCTACCTACCAATGTCTAGAAACCCTTAATATTTTCACACCTGTTTTATCATTCAAATTCTGCAACTTTTGGAGGGCAGAAATGTATACTTGCTCTAATGGGTATTCTAGCTCTCTACCTCTTTACTCTTCCCCCTTTTCCATGTCAGCCCTCTATCAGTAAAGTTGTGCAACTGAGTGGCAAGATAGAGGTGCTTTTTGTTGCTCCACAGGAGTAGTGAAGAGGTGGATTGAAGCAGGCTGTTGGCTATAGGAATGGCTTCTTTAAGCGAGCTTAAGCTTGGTGCCATAGAAACGCACAGGAAGGTAGTCCAGAGTAAAGGTAGAGTAGTTCAGGAGGAGTCAACCATTCCTCTTGTACCTTGTTTCCAAGCTGCAGCAAGCCTGAATGAAAACCAGACAGTGGAAGTGTCCTATATCTTATAATTTTGCTTCCCTACTCAAGCCACCATATATGTGCAGATATGTTTATACAGATCTGATCAATAAGCTGGGAATCAGGATCACAAGTAGAAGAATGAAAATATTACAGATTGTTGTTGTCAGTGATGATATGAAATTGGATGTGTTTTTAAAACCAGGAGATTTCCTCTCTCACTGGCAGGACATATAATACATAGTGTAGTACTGTACTCAGTTGTATCATTGACTACTCATTGTTTCATTTTGTAAATAAACACATAATTGAAGATATTTGATTACAAGTCATAACACATGAAAACAGCATATTCTATTATAAAAAATCTCACTTCCATTTAAATTGAGTGGAATGTTTCACAGAATGCCAGGGAGGGTTCTGTAGTAGCCTTCATAAAATAACATCCTAGTAATATGACACCTCACTCTTGCACTCCAGTGCCAAATCTTTGTCAAAAAGTGGAGGGAGAACTGTCAAGGTTGCAGATTAGCAAAGGGAGAATTAACCAGGTTCTTCTGTAAAATCATAATGAGCTGAAGCTTTTTTCCTTCCAAATTATAGAAATAGGGCTTATAGAGTACCTTCCACAATAATGCTATTTAAGCTTTCTATCCTAACCCTTTAGGTACAGTAAATGTTTTACATTTAAGTTTCCATTACATTCAACAATATATAATGTATATTTAGACCAATGCTACACATCACAATTCCTGACTCCATGCCTGCACTCAGAGATGCACTGATGAGAAAAATTAAAATTCAGTGAATCAAATTCTGTTTAAATTATTGTGTAACTTAATCTTCCATGAGCTTGGATAGTGGTGAGTGTCCGTGATTGGTTTATGTGTAGCTTAGACTCCGTTTCCCCTTTGTTCTCTTCAGTGTCACAGGTTGTGACGCTTACCATGCTGACAAGTGGTGGTCCCACTGTAATTTGTGAGATTTCTTTTTTTAGAGAAAGATCCAAGGGCTTGAGAGAGGGTCATCCAGGACCATTAGACTTCCTACCCCGAGCACATCTTGTCTCTGTTCCTGCAATGGCAGATTAGATTCCTAGGATAAAGCAGGTAGAAACTAAGGGCTCTCAGGGAATTAGAGATCAAAGTGTAGTGGCACATTTCAGGAGAAATTCCTAGCAACTGAATATATCTTGGCAAGAGGTCTATAAGAACTTGTCACTAACTGCATCTTAAACCTAAGAATACGGTTTCTAATCAGGTCAATAGGTTAGAAAGTACCTGCTTCCTCTGACCTTTCTGTCAGGGCCTTCTGGAAATTCTCCTATTGGCCTATTTCATTCAGCCCACTGGCTGAGGGCCTGAAGTCATTCTCTATGCCCAGGAACAAATGAGAGACCAAGACTTGCTCTCAGGGCAAAGCTGAAGTATGGGTTCTTATCTGTCCATTCGTATACATCATCTATTGGATTGCTGTGGAGCCCAAACTATGCATATAAGTTCCTACCCCTCCAAGGGTGCATTTGTTTACCGGAGCAGAAGTCTTTCCTTATCTAATTATGATTATAACCCTGTCAGATGCTAACTTTAGGTGATTACCCTCCTAGCTATTTAGGCTTTGGTCTTCTCCCAGCTTTGAAACTCATTGTTTAGGGAGTGACACCTGAAAATCATTATACTATTATTCAATCCGGACCCTATTATACAATGGACTTATACAAGTACATTTATATCAAATACCAAGATTCATATAAACATAAGCATAGTTTCATAGTTTCATAGATTTAGGGTCGGAAGGGACCTAGTAGATCTTCTAGCCCGCCCCCCCGCCAGGGCGGGAGAACAACAAAACCCCAAAACAAGAAACGGGACTCAA